ATATAATAAGGCTCCAACACAGATCGGTAACCACACCATACCAAAACAATATTCTTTCCCCCAGAAATTGCTACAAACGCTTCATCATGCCCACAGGCCTCTCCCCAGCCATGCCCACCACAAGCCAGTGACACTCTGGAGCTCTCTCACGCTGGCGCAGTGTCACGGCATTGGCACCGCGAACACCGAGGGCGCGTGTTTGCACTGGAACTGCTCCTACTAATCGGTGGTTTGGCTTCGTTGGGTTGTTTTGCTTGGGGAGTGGAGAGAGAAAGCATCAGTTTTTCCTCTAACAATATTTGGGCCAAGAGTTAATTCTCAGCAATTAAAAACAAAATCCAAACCACATTTTTTCCATAAACAGCTAATGGTCTTGGATCTGTCACCATAACTAGCACGCAGCTGATTTTTCAGAAAATAATGAGTATGCCTGCAATAAGACATGACAAATAGCAACAGCTAGTTTTAAAACAATGAACTTTTTAAAATTCCTTCACTTCATAAAGACTTACAGGTTTCCTGCAACTTTTTTTTTAAAAGAACAGAATATTGCAACATCTCATACAATGCAACATAAGGATTCATCTTATATACCACAGCGACAGAGGAATGGAAAATCCAGCAATATTGTACCCTTCGGCTTCAAGAAGAATAATTCATTGTATTTTCATAGGCTGGAGATCATGCTGCACATCCACAAAGGACATGGTTAGCCAACCGTGAGTAAACATCATTCACTTAGTCAAGTAGAAAAGGCTCTGAGCAGTATCAAGTTTCCCACTGATGCCACTGCTGTTAATGTTCTACCACAAATATGTGGTTGTTAGAGGACAGAAACAATTAGCTCAAGGACATAATTGTGAAAGACAGGATATTTTAGCTGTGAAGAGATAATACAGCCTTTATTCACATTAGCTGAACACTAACAGTGTGGTAAAGTTGGAGGCAGATGCTGCTTTGAGCTCAGCAATCAGTAGGTAGATTACGCCTGCGTAACACCAAGCATGTTGACTGCAAAGTGCTCTGCTGGTGATACCTACAGGCCAGGCAGGTAGGTAGGAGGCAAACTTTCTTTGCCAGCCCAGATGTGGGAAAAGGAGGAGAGAAGGCAGAGGACTTGGCACTTGATGTCAAATGTGCTGGATCACTTTTGATTCAAAGTAAAAGCTGAGCACTGGGAGCCCAGGCAAAGGAGATCCCTGGTCTCTTTTCCAAGGGCTGGTGCAGCGGGCAGGAATGCCCCACAAGGAAGACAAACTCCAGACCTAAGCTGGCATTTAAAGCTCTCTTTAGTCTTTACAAGAAATTACATAAATCCAGGGCAGCTCCTCAGCTTGTTTAACTGAATGTTGCTGACGATTTCCTCCTGCCTTACCTGCCCCTTTAGCACTTGTGTGCAGAGCAGGTTGTAGCAAAGACAACAACCCGAAGTCAGCACACCATACTCCTGATGGGCTCCTGCCTCTAGTTGCTGAACAGCAAAGATGCGACCAAGGAAAACTCAACACGTGACGAGCACCACCTTGGCTGCAGCAGCTCTGCAAGGACACATCAGCAGAAATGCTGCTATGGAGACTCCTTCCACAGCCTGAGGAACAGCAGAAGCACCAGGACACAAGGTTCTTCCTCAATGCTCAGGAATGCTGCCACACTTGGTGTCCTGCAGAGAAAATTCAGGCTAAAAGGATGCATATCTCAGTCCTGTGCTGGTAGAGAGCAAGACACTCCAGTATCCTTCAAGTACTTCAATTTTGTTGAGTAAGTGGATAAAAGGTTCTAACAGATACACAAAGCTTCAAATGCAAAATTGTGGGGTTTGTGGAGTTGCCTGCCTAATCCCAAATGGCAGAGTTGGTGAAGAGTTGTCCCCATCACTGTCTTCTTTAAGAATCCAGGAGCCTCAGATAAAACTGTGTGGGGCAGCTGCACATCAAACAGAAGGAAGCAATTCTCCGCAAACCATTAAAGAGTGGGACACAGGATACTGAGGATGTCAGAGCTGTCCATGGGCTGCAGACATGGCTGGGTTTTTTTATTACACAAAATGTCTGGTTTATGAATATTTTCTGAGCCACAAAGCCAAAAAAGTATACTAGAAAAGTATCATTACACATTTATGCTGGGAAGACAAGGGTATCTGGAGACACAGTGCTGGTTCAGCCTGGCGGTTCCTCAGCCCAAATAGAGGCTGCTTTTTCATCAGCAGGAATCACTCTCCAAGCACACAGTCCTCCGCCAAAAGGCCACAGCATTTGGTGCATTTGCACCAAGGACAGTCCTACGAACTGGACTTGGTACTTCAACAGCCAAAGGTCAGGCTTCTCCCCACAACTATCACTGCCACCAGACCCATAACTTGGGTGCCAAACTCAACTCAGACCTCCCTTTGAGTCCTCAGATTCTACCTGTCTATGTAACACCAGAACAAAGATTTTTCTTTCCATCAAGAAGCTGAATCTCCCTATGGCAGCCTCACACCTTGTCTGACCTCAGCAGAAACTCTCCTGGGCTGCTGTTGCCTATGCACACTCATCCAGCAGAATCACTGTTCAAGTCTGTCACCCTCTCTAGGCACCTTTTTACTAGTTCTCACCTCTGTTGTAAGAGAGACAACTGCTGTTACCTTCACAGAGGATGATTTTTCTGCCACCCAACCTTGGGATGCTGAACGAGCAAGGTGTTGACTGCTGCCTCTAGTTGGTTCCCAATCTTGTTCTGTCACTTCTTAAATTTCCCAACAGCCACCCATGTCCTGAACTCAAGCCCCTCCTGTCCAGCTGCAAGTTTTCCTCACCTGCTTCAGGGCCCTCTTTGGGCAAAGGCTCAAAGTCCTGGGACAATCCTACCTCACATAGAGTACCACAAGTCTAAGATCACAGAAGTGAGCAAGAACCTTATCTTTGTTGAGTAAGATCCTTGATCTTGCAATCAGCCTCATACAAACAAAAAAATCATAGTCTTACGTTGTCCTCAAATAGCTCCCCCACCACACACACACACAGATAAAATATCAAGCCAGAACATGAGACCACCCAATCCCCTTTCAAAGGAGAAACTTCTTTTTGGTAAAGCACCCACTCACACTGCTTGCTGAATACATGCGATAGACAGTGATTTCTTCTCCAGCTGAGCCAGCAAGTTCTTTGCAGCACTTGAAACCTCCTTATTTAGAGGGCTACAGCTGCAGGGGGGGGGTGGTGCATGAACTTCCAGCATCTTTACCTCACCCCAGGAAATTCAGCTCCAGTACCTTGAAAACTGGACACACGGATCTCACCCCCATGATCTTTTCTGGCCTGCATGTTAGCAACAGAACCAGGGGGAGAAGGTTTAATTTGCTATTCTGAATCTGCAAAGGACAAAATCGGTTTGTAAAGATTAACAAGTAGGAATGAATATGGACAGGATTTCTAGGCACCACGACTCCCTGCAGAAGCTTCTCCATGGCTGGTGCTGTATTGGTTTTGCCCAGGAGCGATATATGGGACCCATGGACAGTTTGACCTTTCTGCAAATGCTATTAAAACAACAAACAGAGCTGAGGCAGCTGGGTGAAGCCAATTTCTAAGAAGATGGTTAACCCATTCTCTGCCTCAAAGAGATGAAAATGGCCACATGCACAGGTGCAGGGCACTTGGTTACCTCTCAGCTAAGGATCTACCCTGATAACAGTGGTGATAAAGGTGAAAATTCATCCCTTCCTGTGAGCTAAGGACGTGTTGGCTGTGCTATGCAAAACACTTTTCCTGAAATGCCAGTGTAATCTGTGCACTGGAAACGGATGAAATCCATGCCCTGAGCAAAGACACCTCTTGGCTGTCTAACCATTGAGGGGACCACAGGGGAAGTCTCAGATCCAGGAAGTCAACACTCTCACTCCCTCTCTCAAAGGAAAGAGGATTGCTCCGAATGTCCAAGAATTCCAGGATCTCGTACAAGGTATCAGAAAGATCCTCTCCCTTTCTCATTTGGGGGGCACAAACACAACAAAATACTAAAAGCCTCGGATTTCTACAAGACAGAAAACTAAAGAATGTTTTGAGCAGCACAAGCCCTGAACTGCTCCTCCAGAAAGAGGGATACGTGCAACTGAAGGGCACGTGTTCCCTGCATACCAGGCACAGCTTAGTGCAGGGAGCAATGAAAGCAAGCAAACTCGGAAGCAGATGCTATCTGAGAGGTGCTTTTGTTCAACTTTTACAACTGTCCTAGGAAAGGTGAAATTACTCGGAGCGGGCAGAAATATTCCCCTCTTTGACAAAAGCTGTCACTGAGTCAGAATTGATGTAGGATTGATAAGCAGCAACACTGATTTAGGATTACAGAAAAGGAGGGGCAGGGGGAGTAGGTGTGCTTATGAGAGATAGTGGAAAATTTCCTGACAAATATTTTTAAAGAAAAATTTCTAAGTCTTCACAAAGTATGCAGCAGAAAATCCTTAGTTTTAATCTAAACAGCTCAGGACATCTGTTTCATAAGAAAACATCAAAATCCCACATATTCTAAGCATGTACTTTTTCCCCTTTACTTTTGAAAATGTAACCACTGCAGCTATTACTCTAAATCGACAGTTTCCCAAATCAATAAGTCACTAGAAATAGTTAGGAAACCTGCAGAATCACATCAGAACAGAGAGCAAGTTTCTTCAGTTCAAAAACATTGGGTGATCCAAACCGAAGCATTAACCATCTGTTAATTAAGCACCTCCAGGCTCTTGAAAACCAATGAATAAATTTTCCTTCCTCCATCAGAGGAATAAGAACCGTTGTCTGCGGTAATATACAATGCCACTGCACTCAGTGAGTTCTGCTGTGCTGCTTTAAGGCAAAAGCAGGAAGTCGGAACAGAAAGTTCCTAGGGAGAAACTCTGCTGAGACACAGCAAACTCCTTCAGACTTCCTCCTCAAATAATTTATTGTCCAAATGAGACAGAGTTTCTTCCCTCCCCTCCACCCCATTGCACAACCTCATTTTCCCTCTCTGCAGGTGTCCCCAAATACCTCGAGTGGCAGGACAGTATCGCTCCCCTTCCCTGGAACCAGCAGTATATTCCACAGCAAAAGCTAGCGGAGAATGATCCCTGCCACTGTAAACAGAGTATCAGAGCAGGTCCAGGCTAGGAGGTGTGGTCTGCAATGATCCCTACGCATCTCATCCCCTTTCCAGCAGAGGCTAGTAGCCATCTTCAAAAAGCTGCACAAGAAAACCTGCCATTAATCTCCCAAGGTAAATTCCTTGTAATCCTGCCTTGCACACAGCTGTTAAGAAGGGCTTGTTTTGGAGCTTCCTTAGGCAAGAGGGGAAGAAGTGGTAAGCAAGCAGATGATCCCTTGTCTCATGCTGAACTTACTTACCTTCCCTGAGAAACCCTAGTTGGGCTTGTAGGTAGCTCACTGCCTACCTCCCATCCAATTTCAACAGGGCAAACTACCCCTGTGAATCCTGCCTCGAGTTTGATTCCACTTTCACAGAGCTGGCAACCTATTTTACAGAGAAGCACAAAGAGCTTAGGAAAAGAGAAAGGCAAAGCGTAAGGTAACAGTGCAAGGAGCATCTTTCTAAAGCAAGGTAAAACACACCCTGGGGGTGGGTTGCACACCCCAGGAATTTCTCACTAAAGCAGCCAGAGATGCTACACTCTATCCTGCCACTGACCAAAGCGTCCCTTGATCCCACAGCACCACCGAAATGAAGCCAAGCCACCCCTGCCTGCTGACAGCTGGAGATACTGAGGGGGAATTTGTCACTCAGGGGCAGCTCCAGGACGTCCAGGCAGCATGAAGTTGCCCTCAGCTGTGTCAGCTCCCACTAGTTAAGCCTGAGGACTTCTTGGAAGGGGACAAAGAAAAAAGAGAGCATGTTGAGATCCTGGCGGGCTGGCTCTTCATCACCTGGTATGGTTTTGCCCCCTTTGCTCACCCCTGCCCCAAATGCCTCTTTGTGTCAGCCCTCAAGGATAATATTTGCCCAGCAAACAAGCTTTGCCATACAAGTCATGAGCAGGCAAGCCCAGGCTCTACAGAGAGCAAAAACCACTCTTCCACCGATTCCCAGCGAGAAGACTCCAGCTGGTGTCTGAACAGCAGAGACCTCATCAACCTGCAAAGAGAGGAGCTGCAAACAGCCCCATCTCCCCAGCAGCGAGCAACCATAGGATCTGCAGAAAGCAAAGGTAAAATACACAGGGAAGGACCCGCCTTTAAGACAAGTTATTTCAAAACCCAGACTAAAAAATGGACATGAAGACTACTATAACCCATCATGTTTGTTCCTTAATACAGGTTTAACAGGGCCAGTGAGCTCCCTGAGCCATCTGGGAGGGCTCTGTGCTGCTGGAGAGCAGCTCTGCTCCTCTCAGACCAGGACGACCACTTCTCCACTCCTCACAGACTCAGCTTTGCCTCAGCCGCAGGACCACACATCCTTTGGGGCAGGCAGTGTACCTGAGGCAAAAAGCCCCCAAAACCCATACCAAGTCTCTGAGCAAGAGAGTTTACTCACCATTTTGTTTATGGTTGCTGCAGAGGTGATGCTTAACACTGAACCATGGTCTCAGCTGGGATGCTGCTAGAACAGCACAAATAAGGGAGCAAACTTTTCTGCACCTCGCAGCCTGTCTCACCTCTAATCTCCTCCTGGGGTCCTTTATAAAGCTTCTCTTAATACTGACCAGAACAAAAAAGCTTATCAAACACACAGAAATAAATAGCATTTTGGAGCTACGTTAATGAATCCTTAGCATTACATGGATAAAGGTCAGGAAATACAAAAAGTTACGGTTCCCATAGTAATGCTAATTCAACCATACTGCACATCCTGGGTGTTTAGTGGTACACATTGAAAAGAAAAAGGCTTCATCCACCAAAGCCAAAAAGGTTTTTGATTAAATAAAGACACTTGAATACCACCCCCACACATGCAACATTTATTATTCAAAGATGTGGATTTTCAGATCGAATTGGATTAAGCCAATCTAAGCATCATTACAGCTCCCCATATCTAGGGCAATAGTGAGAGCTCTCAAGCATGATTACAGACTGAACATTATTTGCCCAGCCTGAATAAAGGAAAAGGATCCAGGCGTCAGAATGTGTTGAGTCACCAAACTGCAGTCAGCACCGACTCTGCACTTGGATGGTGGTAAGGAGAGATGGGAGAGAATAACTGACCAACCTCCTCACACCCCTAACTAGTAAATGTTAATCCATTTCTAGAAATGCTCATTTCTTTGATACAACTTGAAATATCCCCCCTGCCTAATATCCCATCTCTCAAGTCTAGAAACAGGTTGTGAATGAACTCCAGCCGTGCTGAGCTCTCTCCAGCACAAATCTGTGTACTGCTCTACTCTCTGAGCTCCCGAGGTCTTATCTTCATGCTTTACATAAAGCCCACACCACTCTTCCTAGAGGAACAGCTACAAGTGGTCCATTTGCATTTAGCAGCTTCGACTGAGCAACCAGATTTGCATGGGAAGCAAAAGACTCTTTTCTGTGCCATAGGAAACACATTAAATCAAAGGGGTTTGTGCATCTGTGCCAGAGCAGGGGATTACTCTTCTGGCTATGTGTCTGGGAGGAAGAAAGGGTAGAGCAGAGATCTCACAAACTGCTTTAAGAGACAGTGAGGGTGAGGAAGAGGGAATGCAGCTCTGAAGCACAGGAGCAAAGCGTGCAATGGAAGAAACATGTACATCTGGG